ATTGTATTGGATAATTGAATGGAGATAAAATTTAAAAATTAATAAAAAAATCTCTCTAGGTTTACTAATTTAAATAAACACCTCAATATATAAAATTTTTATAAAATGACAAAAACACTCCCATCCATCTATAGTATCAAATTCCAGCCACCACCGCCGGAATCTAGCGTTATGTTGTAGACCGATCAGATCTAGCCTGTCGTACGTTGATTTGACCTTTTTCGGTCAGATCCACCATAGATTTGGCAGGAAAATGTTAGTTTTACGGCCAGATCTAACCATCGACGGCCGCAAAAGGCCAGAACTGGCCGTCGCTGAGACCAAATCGACGAATTACCGGTTAGTTCTGATCGTTTGTACGTCATTATGACAGATTCCGGCTACACCGACGGTGGTTACCAGAATCTGGCAACTATGGATTGGTGGGGGTATTTTTGTTAATTTTTAAACTTTTTTCTAGGGGTATTTAATTAAATTAATAAACTTAAGAGGGCTAAAAGTAATTGAATAAAATATAATAGTATTTCCTAAATAATGAAACAAACAGTTATTTTGAGAATAGGATTGGGAATAAGGTATGAAATAATAAACCAAATGGACCCTATAATATGATTATTGATTGATATGTGCTCGCGTTGGTGTAGTTATGTTTTAGTCAATCAAGTAACCGCCTGGCCCATGGCGGGTTAGGCCAAATTACGGGTTGCGCCTAACCGGGCCCGCCTCTTTGTTTAAAAGGGTCAACCCAGCCTGACCTGCCAACCAATGTTCTGAAAATCAGACCAGGACTCGACTCGGCTAAAGACCCGGTTTTCGGTTTTCACGGTTGGATCGATCGATCGGACTGGTGACGTCAGCAAAAAAGAAAAAAACTCCAGAGTTTTTATGTAACTAAAAACCATCAAACAAATCTTGCAATAATAATAAACAATAATGCTAGATGTACAAAAAAATCTTACAAAGATTTATATACAAAGTGATGTGATAAGAAGTGAATGGAAGAGTAAATATGATGAGTTTGACTTTGTCTATTCATTTATTATCACATCACTTTGTATATAAATCTTTGTAAGATTTCTTTGTATATCTAGCATTACTCAATAATAAAACTATCAAAGTTTGATAGTTAATGTTTACAAATTCAATCCTTAAGTCTAAAGTTTTAAACATCGTCAAAAGTATTACAAAGTAGTATCAAATATGAATCCACCGACAAGAAACAAACAAAATTACAAAACATCAAAATACCAATCCACCAACCAACATCTCAAATTACACAATATCAATCTATTCCACCAACCAAAGCACCATCCATCAGCAGCAGCAGCAACAAGTGAAGGGTGAAAATTTAACCCAACCACAAACAAATTCAGCAGCAACAGCAAGTGAAAAGTGAAAACTCAACCCAACCATAACCAAATTCAGCAACAGCTCACGGTAATTAATGGACTCTTAATTTGATGAATATTTTATATTTTACATGTATCTTCTTGATCTAAAAATTCCCCCTTTCAGGTACTCTATTACTGTAATGACCATCAATTTTTAATTTCCCACGTGAAATTACTTTTTAGAGTTTAGAAATTTGTCAACCATCAATTTCTAATTTCCCACTTGAAATTACTTTTTAGAGTTTAGAAATTCAATTGATAAATGACAGATTCACGCTAAGATTCTGAATGTGAATGTGACTGTGACTGTGCATGCGTTCATATTAAAAGTACAAAATTAAAAAAAAAAAAAAATTAATTAAAAAGATTCTCCCTGGAAACGCTTTCTGTCTAATCATACCCGCCACAATACAACAAAGGATAAAAATGACGTGGGTCATACGAACGCAGCGGAAGGATGTGAATGTGCATGTGCCTCCCCCATGACTCAGTTATCCCTTGACCATTAGTCCAACGGGGGAACGACTTATACATACCCAATATTTATCGAAACGATAAGTTGATACCCAAAAAGTTTTGAAACAACAAATAGGTACCTTCTATCATGTTCTGTTAGTGTTTTTCGTTAGATAATAGTAAAAAGACTAAAATGCCCTTAAAAATCTTATTTTTAATTTTTATTTTTTTAAAAATCTCTAAAAAAACCCCCTAAGTTTGCTAATTTGACTAAATACCCCAATATATAAAAATTTTATAAAATAACAAATACACCCCCGCCACCACAGTGCCAGATTCCGGCCACCACTGCCGGAATCTGGCCAGAAAATTGTGTTACGACACAGACCCGTCGGATCTGTGTCGTAACACACCGATGTGGCCTTTTTCGGCCAGATCCGCCACAGATCTGGCCGGAAAAGGCCAGATCTATGTCTGGCCTTTTTCGGCCTCGACGGCCAGATCTGGCCTTTTCCGGCCAGATCATCCACGGATCTGGCCTTTTCCGGCCAGATCATCCACAGATCTGGCCGGAAAACGCCAGATCGACGTGTTACGACACAGATCCGATGGGTCTGTGTCGTAACACAATTTTCCGGCAAGCTTCCGGTCTCGACGGCCAGATCTGGCCGTAGATCTGATCTTTTCCGGCAAGATCAGCCACGGATCTTGCCAGAAAATGAAAGATCTACGCGCTACGACACAGATCCGATGGGTCTGTGTCGTAACGCAATTTTCCGGCCAGATTCCGGCAGTGGTGGCCGGAATCTGGCCCTGCAGGTGGCGGGGGTGTTTTTGTTATTTTATAAAAATTTTATATATTGGGGTGTTTAGTTAAATTAGCAAACCTAGGGGGTTTTTTAGAAATTTTTAAATTTATAAAAAACTAAAAATTAAACTTTCAAGGGCATTTTAGTCTTTTCACTATTATCTAACGAAAATCACTAACAGAACATGACGGAAGGTACCTATTTGTCGTTTCAAAACCTTTTGGGTACCAACTTATCGTTTCAATAAATCTTGGGTATGCATAAGTCGTTCGGCCCCAACGTCCAACACCTAATTGGCCCGAACCCACATTACTGTCTTGCAGACTCCCATCTGTCGAGGCCGCCACGCCTACTCCCCTCAGCCATTTCTATATATGTTTTCGATATGTTTAAGGGAGAGCGACTTACACGTACCCAAGGTTTGTCGTAACGACAAGTTAGTACCCAAAAGGTTTTGAAACGACAAATAGGTACTTTCCGTCATGATTTGTTAGTGGTTTCTATTTATTACTGTTTTTTAATAGTGAAAAGACTAAAATGCCCTTAAAAGTTTGAATTTTAGTTTTTTATAAATTTAAAAATTTCTAAAAAACCCCCTAAGTTTACAAATTTAACTAAATACCCCAATATATAAAAATTTTATAAAATAACAAAAACACCTCCGTCACCCGCAGTGCCAGATTCCGGCCAACGCCGCCGGAATCTGGCCGGAAAGTTGCGTTACGACACAGACCCGTTGGATCTGTGTCGTAACGCGTCGATCTGGCCTTTTCCGGCCAGATCCGTGGTTGATCTGGCCGGAAACGCCGCAAGCTGATCTGGCCGGAAAAGGCCAGATCTACGGCTAGATCTGGCCCTTTCCGGCCAGATCAGCCACGGATCTGGCTGGAAAAGGCCAGATTTGGCTGTTGCTTCGACGGCCAGATCTTGCCTTTTCCGACCAGATCCGTGGCGGATCTGGCCGGAAAAGGCCAGATCGGCACGTTACGACACAGACCCGTAGTGTAGTTTTCCGGACAGATTCCGACGATGGTGGCCGGAATCTGGCACTAGGGGTGTTTTTATTATTTAACAAACTTTTTATATATGGGGGTGTTTATTAAATTAGCAAACTTAGGGGGTTTTTTAGAAATTTTTAAATTTATAAAAAACTAAAATTGAAACTTTGAAGGGCATTTTAGTCTTTTCACTATTAATAAACAGAAATCAGTAACAGAATATGACGGAAGGTATCTATTTGTCGTTTCAAAACCTTTTGGGTACTAACTTGTCGTTACGATAAATCTTGGGTATGCACAAGTCGTTCGGCCTATGTTTAATTATATGAATCCTATTGCTTTTATTGCTTGCAGTACTTAGCTTTGGCCATTGTGGACTCATATTTATAAGCTAAAGGCTCGCTCAAGCTATCAAATAAATTAAACAAATGCAGATAAATTCCTTCACCAATTGATACGATACGATCTGATCAAGATGCGGTATTATTAATCTGTCCAATATTATTGGGTGCGTTTGGTTCAATATTTCTATCCATATTCTCAATTCTATTCTCCAAATATTATTTGACACATTATTCTAGAAATATTACTATATTTTTTAATTACTTTTAGACCCCTTAAGTTTATTAATTTCATTAAATACCTTTAAAAAAAGTTTAAAAATTAACAAAAACACCCCATCAACCCATACTTGCCAGATTCTGGTAGCCACTGTCAGTGGTAGCCGGAATCTGTACAACGGCCTACACCACGACGGCCACTGGCCGGTAGTTCACCGATCTGGTATTTTCCGACTAGATCCACAGTGGATTTGGCTGGAAAAGACCAGATCTGGTTGTCAACGACTGCCAAAGAAATGGCCGTTGTTGACGGTCAACGACGACCAAATCTTGGCCATCGTTGACCTAAAACGACAGCCATAGATGGACTTCTTTGGCCTTTTTCGGCCGTCGACGGCCACATCTGGCCGTAGATCTGACATTTTTCGACCAGATCCGTGGTGGATCTGGCCGGAAAAGGCCATATCGACGCGTTACGACATAGATCCGACCGATCTGTGTCGTAATGCAATTTTTCGGCTAGATTCCGATGGTGGTGACCGGAATCTGGCACTGCGGGTGATGGAGGTGTTTTTGTCATTTTATATGTTGGGGTGTTTAATTAAATTAGTAAACCTGAGGGTTTTTTTATAAATTTTTAAATCTTACCTCGTAATACTCTCTTATTCAACTATCTAATGTTATTCCCAAAATCCTATCCAAAATAATGAACCAAATGCACCCATTATTATTATCTGCAAGGCGGTCCTCGACATACAATCAGAGTACAGTTTCAGAAATTGCTCATAGTTTGGATTTGCGACATATTTATTCACTCACAACAAAAGATGATTTTATTTTTATTTTAATGTTATTAACTAAGAATCACAACTTGTATCACTCATCTGAACGCAAAAGGTTCTTCATTGGAAAGGAGAAGCCATTGACTGTAAATCCCCCATCAACACAAATGGTCTGGCCAGTTATGTACGAGGCTGCAGGCAAGCATAAGAATGCTACCAAGGAAGACACTTCTTTGGGTTCCCCAGTGCGTCCCATCGGAGTTCGGCACTTCAATTCCTCCAAGAATTTCTCATTGCTCAGATGCTGCAACCCCAACCAAAAGGGAATTCATTAATTTCATACAATCTCCAATAATCAGGAATTAATATGTGAAATATTAGTAGTTCTTACAGGTTCAGTAAGGGGAGTTCTGATGTACCAAGGTGCCACAGAATTGGTCCTTATTTTGTCATTTGCCCACTCGCATGCCAAATTCTTAGCAAGCTGATTCATGGCTCCTGCACCAATCAAACTTCATCGATCTTAAATCCATTACTCAATACTTAACCATTTATTATAATACTAATTAAAATTAATTACCTTTGGTACTTGCATATATGGATCCAACATTAACTGATACCACCCCACAAACCGAAGATATGAAAATAATACTACCAGCCCCGGAAGATTTCAAAAGAGGATGCGCAAGTTGGCACAAGTGATAAGCAGACTCAAAATTTGTAGCCATGATAAATGAGAATTCCTCGGCTTTGTACTCTTCAGTCGGTTTGCATATATTTGTCCCAACATTGTTTATCTGATATCACTAACATACTTGGATTATTAGATAACTACCAACTTTAAATTATTGAATTTAGAAATTGGAGGGTGACCTACAAGAATGTTAAGTTTGCCATTAAACAGAGATGAGACTTCATTCATTAGCTTCTCTCGTTCTGCTACGCTAGATGATACATCACACACTGTACCAGTGATTTTGAAACCTTTGATTTCCCATTCACTTATGCGTTCATTGAGCTCAGCTTCTTTCCTAGAGCATGTATGCACAGACGCCCCTAGCTCTGCCAGTTCCTCCACAACAGCATGCCTGATGAGTGATTCATGACACAATATTAAATGTTTAATAGTCAAATATTAACAAAAGAAACAGAATGTACATGTTCGTTCTTAATTATTTCAAAAAAATTTCTCTCCATTTTGTTGACTTATCACATAACTTCCTGGAAATGGACATATTCTTTAATAAATTACCACATTTAGAGCTTTCTGTGGGGGAAGGTAAAGCTAAAGGCATGTGAAAAGTTACCCGATTCCTTTGGTTCCACCGGTGACTAGAGCGGTCATGCCCTTAAGACTCCATCTGTTGTGCTCGCCACAGCTCACTGCGTCAGCCATTCTGTCTTTCTTTTCTAGTACTTGCACTAGTTTTGGCTGGTTATTTCATCAGAAACCAGTTCTGTTATATAAGAGTTGAGAATGGAAGTCGGCAAATTCATCAGTCCAAAATGGCAACAACAAGTGGTTAAAAAAAGTAGGCGAGGACCTTAAACAATTATAAAGTATTGATAGTGCTTGGAGTGGATGCATTAATTCATACTAAATATCTATTTTATTCACAAAGCTAAACTTAAAAAGTCTGAAAATGATAGTGGAACCAAAATGGCAAAAACAGAGATTTGACAATTCATGATTGGTCTCCAATAGCGGCGTCTTATTTTTTTTTAAATCCTGGATAAGATCTAGATAAACTGGTTGCAGTTGCAGTTGCACGTCACCCATCACATGGATGACTTCACTCTTCTGTAATGCTGGAGTCTACTACATGCATAGCAATATAGCATCATCATCTTCACCATATTTGATCTGAATCCTCTGAATATTTAAAGCTTTGTATCTATTTTTACTCAACTCCAGATCTTTCTTCTATTTAATTATTTTTGTTAGTAAGTAGTAACCCATTAAATCTTGATCTCACCTCTTGAAAGAAGAAACCCTTTCACTGTAAATTTTCAATCAACAAAAGCAACACCAGATTGATAATATTTGTCTCTGAACTCTTAATACCAAAAATCTGCTGGCTGTTATTGGGTATGGCAAAAATTTTGGGAAAGCAAAAACAGGGTAACCCAAAACTTCTTACCAACACATTCACTTGTTGAAACTTCATGGATACCCTTTAGACCAATTTAATACGCTGGATAATTTTATCTGGGTAAATTTACTTTGATTTCTGACAGATTACAAAAGGGAAATGAAGAGAAAGATGTCCCAAAAAAGATATATATCTGGTAAGCCTACATATGTTGTCAAATTGAATTATTGTACTTGTATTCTCATCAATACCATTGGAGAAGGGGCCTCTTAGTTGTTTTCTGGAGGTTCTTGGAAAGAAAATGCCGTGTACCACAAATTCTTGATCACGTAAATGCTCTGCCCAGTTATGTAAGAGGCTGCATGCCATTAAAATAGGAGCCAAGTTTTTCCAAGATTAGGGCTAATAATTCTTTGGAAATAATATAAAAAACAATTCGCTCTGTGAAATGAAACAGCACATGCACATCCAAGCAACTTCTTGGGCTTTTAGCTGTTTCTTATAGTTTTGTTGTGGGGAAGAAGAAGCCATAGACTGTAAATCCACCATCAACACAAATAGTTTGACCGGTTATGTATGAGGCTGCAGGCAGGCAAAGGAATGCTACCAAAGAAGACACCTCCTTCGGCTCCCCGATACGTCGCATCGGAGTTCGGCATTTCACTTCCTCCAAGAATTTCTCATTACTTAAGGGTCTACAAGCACACAAGGGAAATTGATATGCAAACAAAATTAACCTAGCTTCTTGTCTCAACAATGATGAGATGTTAGCTCTAATATAGATATAGAGTAAGCTTACGTATCTTACCATTTCGGCAAGGGGCGTTCTAACAAACCAAGGTGCCACAGAATTAATCCTTATGTTGTCTTTCGCCCATTCACATGCCAATTTTTTTGCAAGTTGATTCTTGGCTCCTGCAAATAATTGAATTATATAAATACTGTGTCAATAAATTCACTCATGCTTGCATTATAGTATATTGAATGTTATTAAATAGTAAACTACATACCTTTTGTAACTGCATATATAGATCCAACGTTTACTGATACTACTCCACAAACCGAAGACATTAAGATAATACTTGCTGACCCTGCAGCTTTCAAAAGAGGATGTGCAAGTTGGGACAAGTTATAAGCAGACTCCAAATTCGTAGTCATGATAAGTGAGAAATCCTCAGCCTTGTACTCTTCAGTCGGCTTGAACATATTAGTCCCAACATTGTTTATCTGAAGTCACATAGTTAAGCATAATATAATCAAGTAATATAGAATTACGTCAGAGACAAAATGTATTTTCAAAACAGAGAGGGACATACAAGGATGTTAAGTTTGCCACTAAATAGAGAAGAGACTTGTTTTATTAGCTTTTCTCGCTCTGATCGAAATGATAAATCACAGACTGAACCAGTGACTTTGAGACCTTTGATTTCCCATTTGCGTATGCATTCGTTAAGCTCTGACTCATTCCTAGAGCATGTATGCACAGACGCTCCTAACTCTGCTAATTCCTCCACAACAGCATGCCTGACAAGCGATGACAATTTATATATAGTATAAAACTTGGTGGTCACATCTCATCACCCCATAACTTCAAACAGAACAACGCAAAATTTAATGGATCAATGATCACATCTGTAAAGGCTTCTTGTACTTATAAAGGAATGTAGAGCATTGAGCGAGAGCATGATTGCATTGCATCTCATTTAAGAGCTATATATGATTTCAACCTAACGAGAAAGGACTAAAGTAAAGCATGCAAGAGATCTGACTAATAAGAACCAGCCATGATAGGAACTTACCCGATTCCTTTGGTTCCACCGGTGACAACAGTGTTGAAAAATGGCTTTTAGCAAAATCACATGGGGTAGAAATGATAATGGAGAAAGGTTTAGGGACTTATATGTGATTGGCCAAGAAAAGGTTGTTTGTCCCACATTGATTAGGATTGAAAAGTGGGAAACTTTTGGGGCCTATATATAAGGACCTAAATCAATGTTAATTGTATCCCAAGTTGTAATTCCATTATACTTCTTTTGTTTAGGGTTCTTTCTTTAAGGACCCTTTAGTTTGCAAGTTTTGTTGTATTTCCCCTTTGTTTTGGGTATTTGTTGTATTGCCCAAAGATTTTCAATGAGGTATTTTCTCTAGTTGTTAAGCATTCTTCCATTAGAATTTTGTTGGCCTTGGTTGCTCAGATGAATCTTGAACTTGTTCAACTTGATGTTAAAACCGCGTTTCTACAGTGATTTGAAAGGAAATCTATATGACTCAGCAAGAGGATTTAGGATTATTGGGAAGGAAGATTGGGTTTGTAAACTGAAAAGATGCTTTATGTTTGAAACAATCTCCGAGGCAGTGGTACAAGCGATTTGATAGGTTTATGATGGGTCGGAGTACACAAGAACAAATTTGACAACTGTGGTATTTCAAAGGCTACAAGGTATACTCTCATTTATCTACTCTTATATGTTGATGATATGTTGTTTGCTTAAAGAAGTAGAGAAATTGAGAAGTTAAAGGCTCAACTAAATCAAGAATTTGAGATGAAGATTTAGGGGAAGCAAAAGATTCTCGGTATGGAGATAATTAGAGATAAGGAAATGGCAAGTTGTTTGACACAAAAGCATATCTAAGAAGGTCTTACAACTTTTGGCATAACTGAAAGTAAAAACCTGTAAGTACTCCACTGCTCCTCATATAAAGCTTAGTGCGTCATTATCTCCAAGTACAATGAAGAACGAGAGTATATGTTCAAAAGTTCCGTATTAAATGCGGTTGGTAGCTTGATGTATTCATGTTTGTTACTAGCCCGACATTTCACATGCAGTTGGAATTGTGAGCAGGTATATGCATGATCCTGGTAAAGGACATTGGCAAGCTGTGAAGTGGATTTTACGGTTTTATAGAACTTGTAACATTGGTTTGGTTTTTGAGGGGATGAAAATCTTAGTCAATTTGTGTTGGCTATGTGATTCTGATTAGCTGGTGTTTGGACAAGCGTCGGTCAACTATTGGATATGTATTTACTCTTGCTAGAGCTCCAGTAAGTTGGAAATCTTCTTTGCAGTCTACAGTTCTTGTCTACTACAGAGGCAGAATACATGGCAGTTACAGAGGGTGTGAAGGAAGCTATTTGGTTACAAGGGCTATTGGATGAATGAAAATAGTCAGAAGAAGATCACTATCTATTCTGAAGTCAGGTGCTATTCACTTAGCAAAGAATCCAGTATTCCACTTTCGCACCAAGCATATAGATGTTCGTTACCACTTTGTGCGGAATATTTCTGAAGGAAGAATCTATTAGAGAAGATTGGGACTGCTGAGAATCCTAGATGTCTTAACAAATAGTACAATGATCAAGTTCAATCACTGTTTAACTTGTCAACATCCTGCAAGCTTGATTGTGCTTTTTGGCACATTTGAAGGTGTTGCAAAATTTGACAGAAGAATACAAAACTTTGAAGGTTTGCTAATTCGCCAAGGTGGAGATTTGTTGAAACTTGATAATTGAAGTAAATAACTAAATATATTATTACTCAATCAAATATACTATTTTATTCAAAAATAATTCTTTTAATAACATTAAAAATGTAAAACACTTTTAATTGGATCATAATTCCAATTATTCACTTAATTGATCAAAACTTTAATATTAATGTATTATAATATATTAAAGCTTTTAATATGGTGTAATTTATATGTAATAAGTATAATTGTATTCGTATATTTATTTAATTAGGTTATTCTAAAAATTTAACTTTTTTCTATTTTAAATTTTTTTATATGTAAAATAATAGAAACTCTCCCATTATTTACATTTCACAAATATTTCATTATAGTCCAGGTTCCAAAATAGGTTCTAAACATGTTCTAAAAAAAGGTTCCAAAACAGGTTCCAAACAGGTTCCAAACATGTTTCAAAACAGGTTCCAAACCGGGTACCCCCTATAGGTTCCAAACAGGGTACCCTTTTTATAGGTTCCGGTTCCGGTTCCTCCACATGCAAGAATCGGAACCAGAACCGCACAGTAGCGGTTCCAAAAAATTGGAACCGGAACCTACCCGTACAGTGCAGGTTCTGGGTAGGTTCTGGTTCCAGTTCCGGTTCTTACCCCCGGTTCCAGTTCTACCTGCTACCCGTGCTCACCCCTAAATTACGTTGTTGAGCGTGAAGAGGATGAGTCAGATTTCTGTCTAGTTATCCTACCATCCACCTCTAGAACAAATGAGTGGATTATGGATTCAGGTTGTACCTATCATATATGTCCCCACAAGGAGTGGTTCTTTAATTTTGAAGAACTTGATGGTGGAGTTGTTTATATGGGCAATGATGATGCTTGTAAAACAACTGGGATAGGTCTATTTCGGTTGAAGAATCATGATGGCTCAACTAGAACTCTGACAGATGTTCGGTATGTACCGAAGTTGAAAAAGAATCTCATCTCTTTGGGAGCCTTGGAATCTAAAGGCTTCACAGTGAATATGCGAGATGGAATTCTAAAAGTTTCTTCAGGCGCTCTTATGGTAATGAAAGGCACGAGGAGAAACAACTTGTATTACTATAATGGTAGTACAATTATTGAAACGACAGCTGCAGTCGTGCAGAAGGATGCAAATTCAGAAATGCTCAAGCTGTGGCATATGCGTTTGGGGCACGCAGGTGAAAAAGCCTTACTTAGTTTGGTGAATCAAGGCTTATTGAAAGGTGCAAAGACCTGTAAGCTAGATTTTTGTGAGCATTGTGTTCTGGGAAAACAAACAAGAGTGAAATTCGGCACCGCAATCCAAAATACTCTTAACACTAAGAGTATTTTGGATTATGTTCATTCTGATGTGTGGGGACCTACCAAAACAACATCTTTGGGAGGTATGCACTATTTTGTCACTTTTGTAGATGATTTTTGCATAAGAGTTTGGTGTATGTGATAAAAACTAAAGATAACGTACTTGGTATTTTCCTTAAATGGAAAAAGATGATTGAGACTCAGATTGGCAGAAAGATCAAGCAGCTACGTACAGATAATGGTGGGGAGTATCGTAGTGATCCGTTTTTGAAAGTTTGCCAAGATGAAGGAATAGTACGTCACTTTACAGTAAGAAATACACTATAGCAGAATGGGGTAGCAGAACGCATGAATCGAACTATACTGGAAAAAGTTTGGTGTATGTTGTCTAATTCTGGGTTAGGCAAAGGGTTTTGGGCTAAGGCAGTTATATATGCGTGTCATCTCATTAATCGTCTACCATCAACTGCAATTGAAGGCAAGACGCCGATTGAGGTATGGTCTGGAAAACTTGTTTCTGATTATGACTCTTTACATGTTTTTGGTTCCACTGCTTATTATCATGTAAAAGAGTCTAAGTTAGATCCCAGAGCAAAGAAAGCAGTATTTATGGGGATTACCTAAGGTGTGAAAGGATACCGTCTTTGGTGTCCAAGTTCGAAGAAAATACTGTTTAGTAGGGATGTGACATTTGATGAGTCTTCTATGTTAGAACAGAAAACAAGAAGCCAGATGAAGGTTTTCAGTACTCCGCAACAGGTGGAGCATACTCAGCAGCAGGTGGAGTTTGAAACAACATCAATTAGCCCAGCTGGAAATGAGACTTTTATCATAGAGGAGTTCATTGGAGATGAAAAAGAGGATTCTTCCCAAGAACATCAACAAGAATCAATAGGCCAAGACGAGAAATTCGCAAGCTTGCTCGTTTTGCTGATACGATGGCCGATGCACTCCCAATTGAAGATGGTGAAGTACCTTCCACTTATAATGAAGTAGCTAGCAGTTCCGAAAATGGTAAGTGGAGGAAAGCCTGAAAAAAGAAATGCAGTCTCTCCATAAGAATGAAACTTGGGAGGTTGTTCAATTACCAAAGAATAAGAAGGCAATTGGGTGCAAATGGGTATATGCAAAGAAAAAAGAATTTCCGAATTTGAAAGACATCCGATTCAAGGCAAGGTTGGTGGCAAAAGGCTATGCTCAAAAGGAAGGAATAGATTTCAATGAGGTATTTTCTCTAGTTGTTAAGCATTCTTCCATTAGAATTTTGTTGGCCTTGGTTGCTCAGATGAATCTTGAACTTGTTCAACTTGATGTTAAAACCGCGTTTCTACAAAGTGATTTGGAAGAGGAAATCTATATGACTCAGCCAAGAGGATTTAGGATTATTGGGAAGGAAGATTGGGTTTGTAAACTGAAAAGATCGCTTTATGATTTGAAACAATCTCCGAGGCAGTGGTACAAGCGATTTGATAGGTTTATGATGGGTCAGGAGTACACAAGAAGCAAATTTGACAACTGTGTGTATTTTCAAAGGCTACAAGGTGATACTCTCATTTATCTACTCTTATATGTTGATGATATGTTGATTGCTTTAAAGAACGTAGGAGAAATTGAGAAGTTAAAGGCTCAACTAAATCAAGAATTTGAGATGAAGGATTTAGGGGAAGCTAAGAAGATTCTCGGTATGGAGATAATTAGAGATATAGGAAATGGCAAGGTTTGTTTGACACAAAAGCAGTATCTAAAGAAGGTCTTACAACATTTTGGCATAACTGAAAGTATAAAACCTGTAAGTACTCCACTGCTCCTCATATAAAGCTTAGTGCGTCATTATCTCCAAGTACGCATGAAGAACGAGAGTATATGTCAAAAGTTCCGTATTTAAATGCGGTTGGTAGCTTGATGTATTCAATG